AATATTACTTTTATATTTTTGTGATACTAGTAACTATATATCTACTATTACACTTAATAGTAGATATATAGTTACTAACAATCAAATTGGTGATGAAGGATCCAAACATATAAGTGAAATGAAACGGTTGATATCACTTGATATTGGTAACAATTTAATTAGTGATGAAGGAGTTAAATATATCAGTGAAATGAAACAATTGATATCACAAGAAAATAGGTAATTTGTTCTCTTTACAACATGTTTCGACCTTGAACTCGAAAGAAGTTTAATTTATTTTTAACTCTAAAAAAAACACAACAAACAACACACGACAGTAGCCACACCAACAAACAACAATGGCAATAATGTACGGAGGCTTGGCAAGAAGTGGTAAAGTCAAATATCAAACACCACGTGTAGAAAAGACCAGCGATTCATCCTATCACGGAGGTTGCGCCAAATACAAAATCAAATCATCAAATAATTTATCATATTCGGGAGGTGCTCATCGGTTGGAGAAGAATTTTACTGAAGAGTTGAAAGTCTATGATCAATACAAGGAAAATCATCAACGATGTGATTGGGTGGAGGAGAGAGCGAATATAAAGAGATCAGAACCTGTTCTTTTGAATTCCTTTCACAAGTTTAATACTGAGAAGGGTTTTAACAAGATGGAATGGAATTCAATGAAAAAGGAGGAGAATATCTTGAAGAATAGATACAATTATAATCCAAATGCAAAGAATCATAAAAAGTGGCATAGAAATCATCCTAAAGATGGTTTTTATCAAAAGAGAACTGTTGATGCCAATGATTTGGAATGTTGGGAAGATGAAGTAATTCAATTCTCTCATTTGTATGAATAATTGCAAACAATAGAAAGGAATTCAAGAGATGGAGCTTGTTGTTATTACAATATATTTGGAAGGTCACTTTCCCATAATATGAAAAGGCACAGAATGTGCTAACCAGACATTTTAACATTATCAGTTCTATTAATTTCAATAAAATTATATTAATTATTAAGGAATGCTATTGCCTTGTTAAGCCAGGAATTTATTGTTTTCTATCAACTCTTGAAAATTCAATTAATTTCTTAATAGAATCAACATGTTCGTTCATGGTTTCGTCTCCAATTTCTTTCACTTCATTGGTGAAAAGGTTCAATAATTGATTGAATTTTGAATTCCATCGTTCATGTTTAGTTTCCCCATTCTTCATTTCCATCAAATAACCCTTCACATTTTCAACAAATCTAACCAAAGCAATGGCCTTTCGAATTCCATTAGTTTCGTAATAATTTCCAAGTTGATTTGCATTGATTTTAACCTGCTTCTCCTCTCTGACCTTCTTTCCTTCAACAGTCTCATAAGAAAGTGTTAATTTCACATTCGATTCTCCTTTAAAATCATTCTTTGCTTTCAATCTTAATAAAACTATTCCTCCCTTAACTCCTCTTTCATCTAATTGACTAGCAGAACAAGTATCAACTTTCATAATCTCGCCAGTTGATTCTCCTGCCATATTTGTTCCAAAACATTTTTCAATTTCATAATTTTCACATTCCAAACTCAACTTGACATTGTAACAAATCGGTGTTACAATATAATTGAAATCCTGATTCAAAATCTTTGTAAAATCCTCAGTTGATTTAACAGAGAAATAATTACAACCACGAACTTGAGTCAATTCTTCAACAATATCCGAATTGAAATCTAAACCAATTCCAATAAAAGTTGAAAAGATATTATACGGACCAGAGTTTGCATCTTTTGTAAGAATATCGAGAGTGTCAGTTCCACCCACATTTGGACAAGCATCTGTCAAGTAAATAATTCTATTAGAATTGGATAAATCAGACGAATCTAGAGTGGAAAATAAATCAATTCCTCTTTGCATGCCAGCTTCAAAATTTGTAGATCCCTTCTCTTTAATCTTTAGAACAGTTTCCTTGAGCGATTTCTTATCTAAATCCTGAACAATTGTTAATGGAAGAAAAGTTTCGGCCTTGTCATCGAATAAAACAATTCCCAATCTTTCAAATTCTCTCAAATTGTCAATTATTTCACAAATTACTTGATTGGCAACTTGCATTTTGGTTTTTTCCTTGTTAGACATGGCAGATCCCATTGATCCACTAATATCCAATACAATCTTTAGTTTACAATAATTATTAAATAATCATAACTAAACAACACGTACAACTAAATTCAAATCCCTTCTTTCATTCAAACCATCTTTACAACTGTGCAATCCTAATGCCAAGTGAATTTGTCTTTCCGCACTGATCGGATCATGATCAACAGCAATCGAATAGGCAGTTTCCAATAATTTATCAGAAACCTTCATCACACCAGTTTGATAAAAGTATTCTTTCATAATTCCCTCGAATGTAATGGAAGAATTGGAGGGTAATCTCTTTCCACAATTCAAAACCTCTTTAAAAGATTCGGAATTAAAAGCTCCGGAAGAAAATAAAGCTGCTTTCATCATTTATTTTTTTGATTTCTGCAAGTTCAGTAAAATTGGATTTTACAATGGAAATTATCGGAAAACAATATATTATTCGAAACATTTCAGTTCTTAAGGCAAGTTTGATTTTTACAAGAATTTTGAAATAAGAAACAAGAAGAATTGAGGAAACTTTTTGTTACTGTAAATTACCCGCTCATTTTTATTGACGCTTGTTTTGACGATTTTATAGTCATGAATGACGCCTTTGTTTATGCTTGTTAAGGTGTCATTGGGACGTTGTTGTGGACGTCAAAATGACGTTTTTTTTCGTCATTTTGACGGTGTCAATTTGAGAGTCATTAAGACGTCAAAAAAAGCGTCCTCAATGACGTCTCAAAAAGTGTCTCCAATGACGTTGCAGAATGATTATTAATTTTTGATAAATTGAAATTTTATTGAACTATTCATAATTCTTACAAGTTGGAAATCCTTCATCTTGAACCATTTCACACTGAGTGAAACTCAATGCTGTGAAAGATTCACACCGTGTGAATTAATATTGTAAAAGATTTCACACCATCAAAGATGACAAGGAAATTGACAAGAGTTTCTTATAAAAACGTGAAATAAAAATTTGAATTGATATGTCTTGTAAATGAATTGAAATGATGTAATATAATTGATAACTGATACGACTTACTAGTATGTTGAGGTATTTTTTTTGAAAAATAGTTTAAACTGGTTGCAAAAATAGAAAGTGTTTATTTTAGAGATGAAGCCAAATATGGAAAGACATTTAATATAATGTAAAGGCCATTTTGTGAATTGGTTTGAAGTGAAAAGAGCC